TTATACACGCCCTTGAAGACACTGGCTATGTGGAGTGTTTATCAAACTGCATCACCTGGGGGATTCTGACACATCTTTCGCGTCTTTCTACTTAAGAACACTTTCTCCAGCCACCATCCATTCTGCAGCTGCCCCTCCACATTCCTGGATGTGCAGATAAAAGCCCCATAGCTGTCTGCAGCAGGTTGGTTCAGAACTACTTCAAGCTCTACTGAAGTTCAAATTTGTGACTTTCTCTCTTGCTGGCTACCCTTCCCGTCCTTGCTACCTCATCTGGCTTCCTACTTGATTCTTAGTTTAATACCATTTGGAGTGTGGAATAAATTTCAGATCCTCTCTGATCCGGCACCCATTAGTGCCCCTACTGGTAATGAATGCAAGAGGCACCTTGCCCCGGGCCCCAAGCCCACCATGCCGCAGAGGACAGAGGCCACTCACTTCCCACTCTTCCGTCCATGTATCCTACAGTCTGGAAACATACAAGAGGAATTCAAATTGCCCACATTCTGCTTTAGGACTGGCATGGATGACAGATTTAGGGGTGGCAACAACTTCTCTAGTCTATTCAGCTGGCTACTGGGAAGGACTTCCCTTCCTGGAAGGCCAAGGGCCCCAAGACTGCTTTCACTGAGCAGAGGTTTTTGGTCGCCCACTCCCCTGAGGCCTCAAGGTCTCCTGCCTACTCCCTCAACTGTTGCCTCAGAGGGTGACCTCCTTGGCCAGTTCCTCCCAAGGCCTTCCATCAGGACTCAGCAGCCGCTCACCTAGTCTAAAAGGGCCAGGCTTTACAGGGTCTCAATGTGAACTGCATCTCGGTCCTCTCCTCCCTTTCCCCAAAGTGACCCTTGGCTTCTAAAGCAATCACATGAAGCTCAGTCTTTACTAACTATAATTGGTAGGAATTTAAAGTCAGTGACATCCATTTGATCCCAAGGTCTACTACTGCTGGAGTCTACTCCTGGTACACGTGGGTCCACACCGATGGCCCTAGGGACTGCAGCCTCAACACAGGGGCATGCCTCTCTCCTGGAAATAGTGGACACACCCCACCAAGGTGACCCTATCTCGCACTTCTTAAATGAGCTCCACTCATCAGAGTGGGGTCTACATGGGTTTCTAGAGAGCAAGACCACTGCTCACACTTTTGTGTTTGCAAATGTTACTAAAGACTTAGCGCATGATCATATGAGATATTCAATGCATTTAAAACAAATCATTGATTTAATAACTGATACTGGCAACAGACCAAATTGATAGTGACCTACTGGTCATCTTGGCACCAATATATATTTGCACAAAATTTATCACCCGCTCTTCATGAATCCTTAGAAAAACCCTCCTTTCTACTCAGCTTCCCCTTCTCCAAAATCAGAACAAGGCCAAACATTCAGCACACTGAACATGCTGCAACCTGGCTGGGCGCCTTCCCGCAGCAATCCACCTGCTGTCCATCCAACCAAGGCTGCTGAAAGTGCTCCCCATTTTAAAACATATTTTATAGATTTCCATATAAACAAATTACAATAACAACCATGATCATAATACGGATGTTCTCATCCATAAAATAGACCGATATGACCCAGTCCTATGGGTGAGGGTGGTTCATGAAGCCTGAAGTACTCACATTTAAGGAATTATTGTTACTTCTAGTCCTTCTCCCTCAGCACGAGCATCCACGTTAACATGACAGTGAACATCTCTGCGTGGGTACCTCCACCCCTGCACCTAGCCTGAAGGCTCAGGCAGCCCCTCCCTCACCCTCACACCCTTGCTGATCTGCAGGCACAGGCAGTTCTCCATTTCTTTGTTCCTCTGGAAGTTCTGCAGCACGGATTTCACTCTGTCACCTGAACTTAAGAGTAGCCATACTCTGTCCTCAGCTCAGCCATCAGGGGAGAGAAATAAAGCTTACAGCCACAGAAACACAAATTATAAATGACCACCATTTACTGAACACTCATATGTGCTAAGAAGTACCCTCCACACTTCCCACATATTTTCTTGTGGTATTAACATCCATCTGACGAGTGAGAGAACAGGGTCAGGAAGATAAGCAGCTGGAGCCCCTGCACTGGGAACTGGCACAGTGTGGCCTCAGGTGCAAACCTGCCTGGCTGTGGGGCTCGCGGGGACCTGCAGCAGGGAGGGCTTGGAAGGGCCTGCACTTGGTTGAACTTTCTGCTCTTACTTGAAGTTCTGAATAATTTTTCAACAAGGCCCCCATTTTCTTTTTGCACTGGGCCCTATAAACTGTGTAGCCAGTCCTGTGTACAACAACACTACCCTCACAAGTAGTCCACTTCCAGCCTTTTCTGCTCCACCCTTGCTGACAGCAAGAGCTGGCCGCAGCTAACGGAGCATCTTGGGTGCTCCAGTTCTCAATCCCGCCCCACCCTTACTCCGAGGCCTTCCGGGGGCCCACCCTAGCCTTACAACCTCTGCTCCTGGGCGCCCCACTCCTTCAGACACTTCCGGCAGGGGAGGGACCCCAGCTTCCAGCCGTGAGGACACAGGTGTGGACCCAGCACAGCATAATACTCTTGCTGCAAGTGGGGCCCGCATCACTGCTAAGAGAGCCACTTGCCACCCACCTGCCGTCCTGAAGGTGATTGGGCTTGTTCTAATCAAGACTGATACAGCAGAAGTCTCTCTACACATAAATAAATCACAATTACTAACTGCAGGAATGGAGCAGCTCTCTCCTCCCCTCATGGCCACTGCAGAGGAATTCCCAGGCCAGCCCGGGCTAGCACAAAAGCCCCAGACTGGGCTGTGGCAATATCCGCTTGCTCGCTCAGTTTATTATTTAAACAGTTCCTTAATGACTCCTCCCGGAGGTGAGCGAGGCCAAACTGTTTTCCTTTCCTCCACAAAGCAGATATGCATGGCTTATTTGAATGTCTCCAGCGTTTACTTTAGTCCCTGGCTAAATACCTTCCACCACAGAGTCAAACAAACAGTTCACTTCATTAGAAAGGCAAACAGTTTAGCCAGAGAATGCCACCAGCACTTGAGGGGAACCAAGCAGGCCATGAAACCCTCTGCCCAGGAAGCAGGGGCCAGCTCCAGCCCAGGCAGCGTTGTGAAGAGCTCACTTCAAAAGCCTTTTCACAAATACTTCACACATTCACTGCTAATTAACAGATAACCCTGGAGAGATTATCTGCCAGCAGCCAAGGGCCCAGAGGATGATCCACACCACCCACTTCGGAGAAGGCAGAGCCCAAGAGCACACCTTTTTTTCTAGAAGTGCGACTCAATGAAGTCATCTGAGAAAACACCAGTGAGCAGCTACACCCCCTACCCCATTTAAAGTAACAAAGCAACATCTCAAATACTATTCATTTCAGCAACAGCTGCAGATTGTGCCTGGGAAAAACACATGGACCAGGGCAGCAAGTAATGCATAGACAGAAAGTTCAAGACAGGGCCCAGGGCAGGAGTGCACGGTCTGCAGCATGTGCTCAGGATTCCAGCTCAGGAGTAGTTGTCAACGCTTTTCCCAACAAAGACGTGGCGCATACTGAAAACACTAGGGGACGGATGAATGGACCATGAGCAGGGTAAAGTCTGAGCCTCTTTTCAAGAGACCCCGGAATGGAGCAGGGTCAGTAGACCACTGAGGCCTGAAGCCATCTGTGAGCAGCAGGCCAGCCCTGACTCTGCCCATCCAGTACCTGCCCCAGCCTTAGAACCCCTCTGCAGGTGGATACAGAGCCCCACGCATGTCACTAGCCCTCTCCACACCACTGTACCTCAGGACCACCTGGGATCTACCAGGCTGAGCTTCCGAGGTGACCAACAGATGACAGGTCACATGTATCCATCCAGGGCACAGGAAACTATTCTGGGTTGATATTTTTTTAAAAGAGAAGGGCCCCACTCTCTTTTCAAGAACACACATATGCCCCCCACCACTGCCCCACACATATACACATGTCACAGTAGTAGACGGCAACATCAAGTAAAAACGTGGCGGTGGTGCAGCTGTCCCTGTCACACCTGAATGCAGAATTTTGCCAATGCTGTCTGTGGTTGTGCTGGACAGGGTCACATTAAGTAATTCCAGTACTCATGGCTCTTAAGAATTTGGTCAACCTCAAATGCCAACTGCAATAAATCGTACAAGTTTCTATTAAAACTATAAATCACTTGCGAAATTTAATACCATCACGAAGAGTAATTAAATGCTAATATAGTAAATCTACAAAAGAAAAAATGGAGAGTACACATAACAATGAAGAATCTTAAAAGTAAGGGAATGCTCTTGTAGGGAGCTTTAAGACAGACCTTTGAGCCAAAGTATAGTCTGTTTCCTATCCAAAGCTAGCGGTCCTCGGGAGGTGAAAATCATGAAAGGGCCACATTCCTCAATAAACTCAAGACTGAGTGCCAAAGACACAAATCCCTTCTTCAACAGAGGACAATGACTCCAACAACTGACTCTGGTTCTGTGTTATCCTGTTAAGGAAAACGGAAAAGAATGGAGAAATACTGTAGAGGACAGGAGAGAGAGTCAGTGTTGGAGAGGCATCCTGGGGCTTAAGTCAGAAAATGTTGAGGACAGTCACAGCACTGCCTGAAAGGCCCCTGCTTCCCTCGTGCTGCCTTCACATCACTGCCTTGTTGATGAGCCGCTGTTCTTTGCTCTTCAACTACCCCCAAATCTTAACATTTAGTCAGGACAACTAGAACCAGGGGTTACTTTCCGGGCTGCTTCGGGACTCAATAGTTGTTGCTGGATACACCATAAGGACAAACCAATTCACTGTACAGACCCGACCAGCGCCGCCCGCCCTGGACCCCTGAGTCACACGCTGCCATGAGCGCAACGGCCCAAGCATGTACCAGTCAGGAGCGCACGCAGGGATGTGAGGGGAGGGGACGGGTCAGAGGGGCCTCCTGTGCATGAGGACAGCCCTGGTTCAGAAAGACGGGGCAGCGTGGTGGGAGGGTGCTGGGCCCCCCAGAGCTAGTTAAGTCGCAAACTGGGGGCCCACCCTGTGATTTCTTCCCAGCTGGCTTGCGGTGGGACCCAAGAACTTGGGCTTCTCGGAAGTTGCCAGGTAGTGCTGGGGCGGCTGGGCTGAGGGCCCCAGAATGAGAACTACTGTGCTAGAGAAGCAGAAGAAAAGGTGGCCACCGGTGCAGGGTCTTGCACACTGGCCGGGCAGCTGCAGGGTTCACGCGGGGAACAAAAATGATCAGAAATGCCTTTTGGAAATTATCCTCTGGTGGTGACGCACAGCACAGGCTGCAGTGGGAGGAAATCAAGGCAGGGAGTGAGAGGTGCCAGGAGGACCGAAGACAGGGTGGCAGGAGAGACAGAGGTAGGCTGCCTCCCATTGCTCTGGCAGGGCGAGTGCTCCGGTGGTCCTGGAAGGGAAGGGCAGTTGTGCGGGTGGAGGGAGTGGGCCAGAGTGTGGCCTGGGGTGCCTGGGGTTAGAGGAGACCTCAGCATCCAGGCTCCCAGTGGATGTCTGGGGAGAGGCAGATCCAGGTCTGGAACTCAGGGGCCACGTCTGGCCTAGAGATCGGGGTGAGAGAAGTGATCATGGGTGTGCTGGGCAACCTCAGTGAGTGAAACTGGCCAGGGAGAGGGCACAGAATGCCAACAGGATCTCCAGAGGGAGGTAAGCCAACCATTAAGGGATGAGCAGAGGAGGCAGAGCTGTGGGAACAGGACACATTAGAGACACAGGAGGACCAGCAGCCAGTGGCAACCGCAGCCAGCTGAGGCCACGAAGAGCCAGGGGTGCACCTGCAGGGGGCTGGGCAGTGAGCCAGGCAGAGCTGGGACACATTCTGGTAAGTGTGGCTGTGAATAGGGAAGAGAGGACATGAGGAGGCCCAAGGTCTGGAGGAGTTCTGTGCGGTATTTTTACCCTTATAGGTGGAAGACATCTAAGCGCACTTGAAGTGGTGGCCACAGCACCAGTCAAATGCTGGGTTTGAAGTGAGACAGGAGAGCACAGATGAGGTGAAGGTCCCTAGGACCCAGAACGAAAGGCAGGGCAACCCAGATTAATTTCCCCAAAACAAATGAGAGGCAAGGGACAGTCCCAGGAGGGGCTGGCACCTGATCTTGTTCCTGCCCCTAAATGGCAGGCTCACATGAAATACATCAAACCCAATGGCACTGCTGAGTCAAAGGTGGCTGGCTCTTTTAAAAGTGAGGTCAAAGGTTATGATGATGATGATGATGATGATGATTTTGAAAAAGGGGTGGAAATGCAGGCCACTCCTCCCGGGAGTTTCAGCCAGAAGGGTGCATCTGAACATTCACACCCTTGCTTCCTACTGGCAAGCAGAACTGCTGAGATCTGCTAGGAGCATGCACTCCAGGGTCTCTCCAGACCCCTGACCCTCCACTGTGCCTGCTTTCAGCCCTGGGGTGCTCACTGTGGGGCCATAACCCTCTGCCTAGAGACAAGGAAGGAGTCCAGAAGCTAGGTGAGGGCATGGAGAGTAAGCAGGAAGGGGCTGGAGAACTCTATAATGGAAATCAATGATCAAACCAGACTCCAACCAGAAGGAGGGTCCAAGGACCAGGAGCCGCCAAAGACAGGCTGTCTCAGAAGACTGTTGCCTAAAAGCTGTATGTGACCATCAGAGTCCTTAGGCTCAGGTTTGCACCCTGGGCAAGGAGGCAGAGGCAGGCAGGACACTTGGGGCTGGCTGCAGGGGCCAGGCCAAGCCAGGTTTATGCGGTTGCAGCAGCTGCAGCTGCTCCGAGGCCAGCCGAAGGGATGTTTCATAAAAGCTGTGGTCAATTCCACTCCTTCCCAGCCCTGAATCCGGTCTCTTTATTTACAGCCCTGGACTCCGTGCACTGTGGGAAATCAGAGGGGCCAAGAATAGGAGTGGGAAGGGAGACAGAGACAGAAAAAGTTAACAGGCAACAGCTTTGAAAGGGTAAAGCAGTTCAGAAACAGCGAATTCACTGGCACTCCCTGCTGCTTTTATTGCTTTCGCTCAACAGCTGGAGAAAATGTTTGATCAAAATATTTGTATTATTGTGTTTAAGTGAAATGACATATGACAGCTCATTATCCCAAACTCACAATCCCCACAGCATCTGTCACAGCCACCCTATTAGAGACAGCCGCTCCCCTGGAGGGTGGAGGGGCCCCTCGGATAGGAGACGAGAGGCACGAAGCAGCAGGCGTTGGACCCAGCCAGTCTCCACTCTGCAGACCCTCACTTGCTCTGAGCAGATAGGAGGGTGCTGCTGCAGGGAGAGGTGGGGGACGCCCACACCCGCCCCAGAGCACCCCTCCCCTGGGCATTGGAAGCCCTCCTTCCCCTCTTCGTCCAGGAGCACGGGGCTCACCAGGGTTACCATGTCCATGGCAATGGCCAGCATCTCCCCTCTCAGACATTAGTTGGCAAGCTTTACTCATTCATCTAAACTAACAAAATATCTCTCTCAACATGAGTAATGACATAATTCCACAGATTTATGTCATTATTATTATTCAATGCCTTCTCATAACAGCCATTGAGTAAAGGGTCTCAGTCCTGCTCCTGCTGTGTTCCTCCAGGATAGCCCTAGTGGACAGATGTTATGTGCTCTATGCCCATGTGCAAGGGAAGGAAAAATCATCTATTGAGCACTGTGTGCGTAGCTCAATTCTGAGAGTTTTATCATCCACATTCGAATCCCACAACAACGCCAGGAGGCACATGATTGTGTCTCCTCCTTACAGATCGGGAGATTCATACTCAGAGAGGTTAATCAATAGGCTCAAAGTCTCACAGCTGGTAAGTGGAAGAATAGATATCTAAACCCAGAACCTTAGGGCTCTAAACTACTTGCATTTTCCACAGCACTTTGGTGCCACCAGAGAGAAATGGCACCTGAGGAGTGTGCTGCACGGCCATCAGAAGGCTGGAAGAGTGGGATGTGCCCGCAGGGGCCCTCTTCATCACATGACCAAAACCAGTTGTTAGGCCAAGAAAAGTTCATTTCCCCCTGTCTCTCTGTCCCTGTGCATTGTACAAAAGAGAGGTCCATACTGTGGAAGGAGCATCTCTAAGTTTTAGCCCTATCTCAGAATTTATCAAATAAGACCTTTGGAGCCTTCCCTCTTGCGGCTTCTAGTCTCAATTTTCTCACCTGCAGCATCAGGGAATGTGATCGTTCCCACTTCGGGCTGTACTGGTGGGATGTGCACCAGTGAGCTCTGAGAAGGTTCCTGGGATCACCTTGTACAGATGATCCCAGTTCCCTGAACATCCATTCGCTCAGGTGTAACACCTGCCATACCCACCCACAGGTCATTTCAGGAATCCAAGCCAAAATGAGATCATGCACACAGAAGGGCTCTATAAACTGGAATATCTACTGTTGTCAGTTCAGAATATATTCCACCCCATCATTTGCAACTATCATGATGCCTTATTTTTAGGAGTGCTTTTTACTCAAATTAAAAAGTCCCTAATTCCCTAAAGGGTCAGATTGCTCAGCCAGCCCAAGAGAAACCTGAAATTAACACTGTCTCTTTATCCTGCCTTGCTACAGAGAGGATGGATCACAAATACCATGACCCAAGTCCTATCCATGTTCTCATGTGTTTTGAGGCTGGAACACTTAGGACTGGGTGGATAGAGGGGGTGACACCTGTGATTCTAATACTGGGATGCCCATGAAAAGAATGAGCTGTAGCAATTACTCCAGGGACATTTGCCTCTGGGGGTGGCTCTACCCGCTGCCCCTCATGTGTGCCGAGGCTAAGGTGGTGAGGCCAAGATGCATGATCTACAGAAGCTGGGAAAGCTCTGCTCACAGACCTCAGCCTCTGCGTGCTCCATATCATCCACAGGGAATCCCCAGGACATGCCACTTTCAGAGAAACCAGTTGCTATATGAATAGTAAGCTGACATGTTTGATTATCTTAGGGCCAAAAATTAGGGTTAGGAAATACCAACTGGCCAAGATTTCACACTTTCTCTATCATGCTAACTTGGCTTGTGGTAACCTCACTCCAGTCTCTGCCTCTGTCTTCCCATGGCCGTCTTCCTGTGTGTCTGTGTCCAAATCCCCCTCTTCTTATAAAGACACTAGGCATATTGATTTAGGGCCCATGAGTGATTACTTCCTTTGGATTCAATGTCATCTCCCACATTGTTTTTATAACAGAAAATCAATTCACCACCAATCAATGACTCAATCAATCAATACATAAAAGAGAGCATACTTAAGAGCTTTTAAGTTAACAATAACCATATCTGCTATTTACTAGATTTGTTTCCCTGTGTAACTTTGAATTTTTGTACGATGAACACATGATATTTTAAAATTTAAAGCACTCAAAACAGAGTCTGACATTCTAGAAGGTTCTGTGACCACGAGCTCATTCCAGAGTATTTTCTCTCCATGAGTACCATGCCCACTTTGGTGCTAAGCCACACCCCTCCTCTGTAACCAGCATCGACACGTCTTCGTAATGAAGAACTTCTCATTCGATGATGTGTTTAAAGTTCGTGTCATCCTCGTCAAGCCCAAACACAGGCAACTTTCTAACAGCAAGTGGGTAGTCAGCATGCCACGTCAGTCAAAGCCGGCGGGCACCCAGGAGTTTTCTCATACAGCTAACAGCAAAGCTCTGGGAACTGTCCAGTGCAGCCAAAGCACAAATATGGCACATGATGATAGTGAAAGTCCAGTCTAGCAGCATGTGCCCCTGTCGTGCTGCGGGATGAGGATACCACGGTCACCTGGTAGAGCCGGTTCAAGCGCATGCCTGAACGGACATGTGGAAGCCCTGGCTTCTGGCATGTGCATATGTATAAAAGTGACCACATGTGGAAATAGTGTCAGCAGAAGTAATCAGTTTAGATAAGGTCATTAGGATGGGCCCTAACTCAATACACTTAGTGTCTTTACAAGAAGAGGGGGATTTGGAAACAGATGCACCAGGGAGATGGCCATGGGAAGACAGAGGCAGAGACTGGAATGATGCCGCTGCAAGCCAAGGAACACCTGGAGCCTCCAGAAGCTGAAAGAGGCGAGGAAGGATCCTGCCCTAGAGGTTTTAGAGGAAAGACGGCCCAGCCAACACCTTGATTTTGGACCTGTAGCCCCCAGAACTGTGAGATAGTACATTTCTGTTGTTTTAAGCCACCCTGGTTACGGTAGCCCTGCCATACATACACACCAGCCTTCCTCACAATCCTATTTTATGAAGGCCATCATACAATGGCACTTTTTGGAGAGAAGGCCACATTCACTTCCCGTGTGGGTAGGAGCAGTGGTGAATATTTACAAGAAACAAAGAACATAAAGATTCTCAGGGAATATGAGAAGAGAAAAGCATGTGCTGTAGGTCTTCTGTCACTTGTTTTTTTGGCTGTGAAGCATCTATTCCTTCTTCCCATAGAACTCTGGTTTCCTTTGCAGAATTACTTTCTATATTTAGGCTTAGGGCGTCGGTGGGGAGGCTGGGTGTAGGTAAATGAAAAAGCTATGAGCCTCACCGTCCATGCGGGACAGCTAGGGCACCTGGCTCTGACAGCCAATGTCCTCTCCTGAGAGAGAACCTGAGTCATTGGAAAGGAGAGAGGGAGAGGAGAAATGTTTGGAGTACACTCCCCCCAGGGCGGCTGACTCCTGCTTCGTAGGCCTCCATAGCCACCTAGTCCTCTAGATATTTTGATAGTTCCAGCTCCTGATGTCATCCCAGCGATTCTTGCTGGTGTAAGAGTCGAATCAGTTTCTGTTGCATGTCATCAAATAGTCCTGGTTGCTGCCAGAGGAAAACGTCAACAGCCCAGCCACTGACTAGCTGTGCCAACTGGCACATCACTGAATCCCCTGGACTCCAGTGCCTCATCAGGAAAGTTACACCGAATTCTCTTCCTATACCTAGGATTAGAGTGTCTATAATTCTAAATGTCTCTGCTTAATAAGCAAATTATCTAAGTTTCAGAAATGGTGAACTGATAGCAGTCTTCCTCTGCCTTACCTTCAGGTCAAGCAGGGTCCTTTGAAACTTTTGTCCTTGAAAGCCACCTGAACATATGTACACAGGGGTGCCATCTCAGTTAACCAAGCCCACCAGCACAGAGATGCCTAACTAAGGCTTATGATAATGCACATCAAAATCAAAAATTAAAAGGCTCCAAACTCCATTCCGCAGATAGATGCTGCATCACTCACAAGTCACCTCACATGTGGCAGCTTAAAACAACGAACGTTCATGACCTCATGGTTTCTGTGGGTAAGAAATCTAGGAGCAGTCTGGCTGGGTGGTTCTGGCTCAGGGTCTTTCAGGAGGCTGAAGTCACCTCCAGGCCTGACTGGAAAAGATATGCTTCCAAGCTTGGCTCCTCACTGCCCCGGCCTCTCCTGACACCGCTGGAGAGCCCACCACAGGGCCACTGCCGACCCTACAATGAACAATTTGAGAGCAAGATAAGAAAGCCACCCGAGGCAGGAGCTATACCTAGAACCTAATTTCACAGGTGATATGTCATCACTTCTGCTATACTCCATTCTCTGGAAGTAAGTCTTTAACTCCAGCCCACACTTAAAGGAAGAGGAATTAAATCCCACATCTTGAGGTCAGGATTATCAGAAAATTTTTAGACACGTCCTTAAACCCCCCACAGTGCCATAATAGCTAAACTTCTTGTCTAATCTTCAACTTTCCCAGTGAAATGATTCAAAAGTCAAATGTACCCTATTAAAAAGGAACCAGTGCTAGGAGCTTTGATTCCAGTTCTGACAGCAGCTCAATACAACTGGGGAGCCTCTCTGTGACTCTGTTTTCCAGCTGTTCCACTTGGGTCGAGCACTGCACTCTGCATATATGATCGCACAGGCCCTTTCTCATTCCAGTGACATGTATGGATCCTCATTTCTCAGCGGCAGACACTGAGGCACAAAGAGGTTAAATAACTTATCCAAGATCACCCAGGGCCAGGCTGGGACCCCAAATCTGCCTCTCAAGCTCCACAGATAGAATGGCACATGAAGAGATTTGCAGAAAGTAGAAAGTAGAAATAAAAATGCTATAATGTGATGAGGCTGTACCATAAACCACAGATAACAGCAGAGTTAATAGAAAGAGATAACTATAGGACTGACAGTGCTGTTGCTGATGCTGATGACAGAAGAGTGGGCATCGTGTGAGTGGCTACTAACTCTCTAGTACCTGCTGCACATCCCCCTCCCTTACTGTTCACTATAATATCTGGGAGGACTGTGACTTTTGTTTGGTGCTCTGTACACCATGTATATAAGGGTATTTATTACCTCTACTTGAAGGGGATAAAAGCATTGCACAGTGAAATGCTGCCTGGCAGTAAGGCCAGTAGTTAAGAATCTGCCATACTCGGTAAAATCTTGAATTGAACCTCTT